TGGGGGTCTCTGAAGACAAGAGCTCTGTCCTGTGAGCCACCATCTTCTAGTAGTTGTATATTTGGGTCTTGGTCAAATCCTGATTGATTTTTGGCTGGGTCTCAGCCCTAGATGGGAGAAAGGGATCAGGCCTCAGCTTGGAATTTGTGGTTCCCAGGGCTGTGATGGCCCAGCCAGGTAAGGTGGGGAAGGCTCTGGTGAGTGGGCATGGGGGAGTAACAGAAATGGCAAAATCAGCAAAGAAACCAGGAGGCTGTTTCTTGTCCCATAGGACCATCTCCCCTGTTGCCAGTCCTGGGGGACAAGGGTGGTGTTTGTTAAAGGAACTGGCAAATTGTCTTGAAGCCCAGGCACAGTGCTCAGGGTTAGGAATCAAGAACCAAAGTCCTGGAAGGCTGTCGAGAGAAGACAGAACTGACTGGGAAGTATTGGCAGCTGGAAGCCAGCTTCTGAGAGCAGTGAGGAGTGAATTGCTGAGGGGGCCTAAGAGCTCATTGGTTCTGCCTTGCTTTTTCCCCTTACTTTGGAGCTGTGCCCCAGGGGGGATACTCAGTGGCTGTCCACAGGGACCACAGTTCAGCTGAGGAGAAACACCCCAGGAGCCTGGGAATTGGATGGTCATGGAGCAGAGTACTGCCCAATCTGATTGAAGGGTGAATTGGGTTCAGAGTGTCTGGCCTGGTCAGAAAGTGGAGGGATTAGATCAGGCCAGCGGGGTCACAGCTAAGAGCTTCCCAGAGGATGAGAACTTGATGGCACAGGACCTGTTGTCACATTCCCTGCAGAAGCCTCAGGGATAAACTGTTAGGAGCCTGGAGCTCATTTGCTCTTGGGTCTGCTGGGGGTGGGACATTGAAAGGATAGTCTCCAGCTGGCCCATCCTCCTCTCCAATGTTTATAACTCCCTAGCCTCCAGGGGACTGGGTGCTACTGTGCCTGGCAGGGTGGAGGGAATGCTGATCTCTGACCTGTGAAATGATGTAGAGCAGATAGGGACCATCCCACTGTGGTTCCCACGTGTCATTGAGGAGCCCCTTGCTCTAAAAAATATAGATTTCCAGACCGGACCTTATAGTTCAGTAAGTCTTGGAGTGCGTGCGTGCATCTGATACATGGCAGGTTGGGGGTCTCTGAAGACAAGAGCTCTGTCCTGTGAGCCACCATCTTCTAGTAGTTGCATATTGGGGTAGGTTGGGAGGTTGGGAGGCTTTCTGGTCCACAAAGAAGGAAGCAGGAGCTTTGGTCGTGGTGGGGGGTGGGCCTCATCTGGGAGCGTTTGGCTGTGCGGCCTTGCCACCTCAGCCTGAGGAGGTCACACTTCTGCTCTGGCCAAGTCCTCTGGGAGCCTGAGGTGCCTGGCAGGGTTCCTTTCAGTCCCACTTGGACTGGWGGGCAGAGGGAAGGTTGGGAGGCAGAGGTGTAGAGACATCCTCACTGTTCTGAGGAGAACCTTTTCGCCTTCCTGACCTCCCTAAATAGCAGGTCAGAGAAAAAGCCGAATTCCTAGGGAAATTCGAAGAGAAGGTGAAGTGACCACACAGGGTCGGGCGGAGGATCCTTGGGGAGAGGCCTGAGCCTCAGCCTGGGCTGATGATCCCCCTGCCTTCACCTGGGTGAGGGAGAGCAGAGTGGCCTGTCCTGTGGCCTGTAGTAGGTGTTCCTTATAAAAATTTTGAACAGGACAGAAATAGCCAATGTAGGAAGTGATAGTTCCCTGCAGCCTCACACCTGGGAGGTAGCCACTGTCCTGGCTGTGTGGAATGTGACCAGCTGGGGCTGAGTGCCCTGACCTTCATGCCCCAGCAGAGGATATCTGTTACTGATTCCAGTTACTCAGGGGGCCTTGGCTAAATTGGGACTGGAGTCCATAAACTCCTTTTGCCTCACTTCCCAGTGTCTTCCTGGGCTAAATGTGGCCCATTCCACAGCTGGGGAAAGTGACTGGAATGTGGTCTTTAAAGATTTAAGGGTCTGGCCAAGGGCAGGCATTGGGTTGAGAGGGCAGGAGGAGGCAGAGGCAGCTAGTGGGTCTTTCCCCTAAACTTGCCCCAGACATCCTCACACGCTGTCTTTCAGTTCAGCTCTCTTGGCGTGCACTCCTGCCCCTGCGTATCTGGACTCCCAAGAGGCGCCTGCTCTTTGAGCATGGAGCTCTACCTTTCCTGCTGCACCACTGTTTTCTGGCCTGGCCTGGCCTTCCCAGAAGCTGGGAAGGAAAACCAGCAGCCCATACTCACTCTGTGCAGGCCATCAAGTGTGTCCTAAGGAGGGGACAGAGAGTAGCTCAAGATGAGCACCTGAAGGTTCAGTCACAATAACTCTTCGTAAGGGAGGCAGTTTGGAAGTGCTCTTGGGACAGCCTTAAAAAAAAGTGTTAAACAACAACAAAGAAATTGCCAGCACTACCAAGTCTGTGCTATGACTTAATTCTGGATATTTGGATGTGAAGGGATTTTTCATACAAAGGACTCTGCTCTCAACCCCCTATGTCCTGCAGAAGCCCAGGGAGCTGAGGACTGTACAGTAGGTGGATCCCAAAGAGGAATGGCTACCATACTGCTACTGAGGAGTGTGTGTGCATTAAGGGACTTCGAGCCCTTTGATGATCAAACTGACCACAGTTGCTAGACCTTATTTTGCCTTCATGCTTGATGGGCTGGGTCTAGAACTCTAGGTAGGTGGAAAGCTTTCTGTTGGGCACTTGGAGGTGTACTTCATACAGAGCCCAGTGTGGCTAGCAAGGACTGGACACTTTTCATTCCTGGCGCATGATCCTATTTCCCCTCGGTGGAGGCCTTTAGGATTTCCTTTTCATGCCTGGTGTTCAGAAATCTCACAGTGAAAGCTGAGCACACTGGTGCACGCTTACAATTCCAGCTATTTGGGAGGCTGAGGCAGGAGGATTTCAAGTTTGAGCTCAGCCTGGGCACATAGTGAGGCCTTATCAAAAAGAAAGGAAAGGGAAAAGGGATCTCAGTGACATTGAGGGCATGGGTCTATTTTATTCATTGTGCTGCATACTTGGGGAGCATTTGTACCGGCACTGATATTCATGTTCAGGAAAACTTTCTTGTATTATTTTTTTCACAGTTCATTTTTACTTTCTCTGTTCTTCTTTAAATTAATTAGAGTTTTTTTTTAAAGAGAGAATTTTAATTTTTTTTTTTTTTTTAGTTTTTGGCAGACACAACATCTTCGTTTGTATGTGGTGCTGAGGATCGAACCCGGGCCACACACATGCCAGGCAAGCGCGCCGCCGCTTGAGCCACATCCTCAGCTCGATTAGAATTTTTTTTTAATATAGAACAGTTTTAGGTTTACCAAAAAAATGAGTAGAAAGTATGTGAGTCCCATACACCCCTACAGCCCCCATTATTTCCTTCCCATCTACCCCAAGAGTCTCCAATTATTTCCTGTCTTATTAATGTCTTACCATAGTGTAGCAGGTTTGCTACGAATGATGGGCCAACATCAGGACATTGTTATTACCTAGAGTCTACAGTTTACCTCAGGGTTCACTCTTCATGTAGTGTACAGTCTATGGGGTCTGACAGATGTAAAATGACATGTGTTCACTAGTGTCGTTCAGGATTGATCCACTGCCCTAAAAATAAAAAGCCCCAGTGCTCTCTCTCTTCATCCCTTCCTCCCTTCCTCTAAATTGCTGGTAAACACCGATCTTTTTATTATTTCTGTAGTTTTGCCTTTCCAGAATGTCGTAGTGGAATCATATAAGTATGTAGACTTTTCAAACTGGCTTCTTTTACTTACACATTTAAAATTATTCCATAAAACAAAAACAAACAAACAAAAACCCCCAAATAAATAAATAAATAAATAATCTTTCCATGTTTTTTCATGGCTCAACAGCTCATTCCTTTTTATCATTGCATAATATTCCATTGTCTGGATGTACCAGTTTGTTTATCTATTCACCTACTGAAGGGCATCTTGGCAGTTTTCATGTTTTGGCAGTTTTATAACTAGAGGTGCCATAAACATTTGTGAGCAGGTCTTTCTGTGGGCATAGGTTTTCACCTTGGTAGGGTAAATACCGAGGAATGCAATTACTCCTTGTATGGCAAGAGTATGTTTAGCTTTCTAAGAAGCTCCCAACCCACGCTCAGCCCCTTCTACAGTAGGGTAGACTCCCCTCACTCTGCACCAAGGTCATGTGTGTTGGGGTCTCCCTTTTTGTCTCCCTGAGAAGTGGAAAGTAGAAAGAACATGGGCTTGCCTGGGATGAAAACCTGACTTGGAGTCTCCCCTCTCCCGTCTGCTTCCTACTTTACCGCAGTATCACTCTCCCGAGCTGTAGACCAGGGTGGTGTCCGCTCCCCAGGAGCTGCTCATGAGGTGTGAATGGGAGTGAGGTATGACATCCATGTGGCTTGGCAAGTGAGTGTTCCTCCTCCCTGGGTCCATTGCTTGAGGCCTCTTGCTGTTCTTTCTGCCCCTCCATCTCTCAGAGGTGTTCCTGGCAGGACTTGGGGTGAGTCAGTGTGTGGGTGAGGGGTGTGTGTGCGCACTGGCATTCCCGTGTTCCTGGCCCTGGGCCTCTTGAGTGAGCTGTTCTTTTCTGAGAGCTAAGAGTAGTTCTTTGGCTGGGACTAGCCAGAGGAGATGATGTGAACCAGAGGAAGTGTGGGCCCGGATAAATGGCAGTCCCTCCCAGATCCAGCCTCACCCCTCTGGGCCTCAGAGTTTCAGAGGGGCATGGGACGCATGGGTCTCTGAGCAGAAGGGGAGGTGCTGGCGGGAGGGGCATGGCATGGCAACCAGTGCCCTGCTTGAGTGCACCCAAGGACCTTCCCCCACTCAGGATGTGGTTCTCTTCACATGGGAAACATTTGGGAGTTTTTAGCTGTGCGGCTTGGCAGCCTGGGCTGGCATGTCAGAGCAGGAGTCTGTGGGGAGGCCCTGTRAGGTGCCTGGCACTGGGGGGAGCCAGGTGCATTGAGCCTGTGACCAAAGCTCTGCCCACTCCCCCATTCTCATAGATGGTATAAGCTGCATTCCAAGACTGGCAAGAAGGAGAAGGAACGCGGAGAGATCCAAGTCACCATCCAGTTCACTCGCAACAACTTGAGCGCCAGCATGTTTGACCTGTCCATGAAGGACAAGCCACGGTCCCCCTTCAGCAAGCTCAAGGACAAGATGAAGGGCAAGAAGAAGTTTGATCTGGAATCTTCCTCTGCCATCCTCCCAAGCAGTGCCCTCGAGGATCCAGAGCTGGGCAGCCTGGGCAAGATGGGCAAAGCTAAAGGCTTTTTCCTCCGAAACAAGCTGCGCAAGTCATCCCTGACCCAGTCCAATACCTCGCTGGGCTCAGACAGCACCTTGTCCTCGGCCAGCGGGAGCCTGGCCTACCAGGGCCCTGGTGCCGAGCTTCTCACCCGCTCTCCCAGCCGCAGCAGCTGGCTGTCCACTGAGGGTGAGGGAGCTGGGGCCACATGCCCTGGGGAAGGGACGGGGAGGGCAGGCTCTCCCCCTGGTAAGGAAGACCTGGGGCTGGGAAATGGGGCTCCCTTCCCTGTGCTAACTACAGTTAYGTCTCCTTTTCAGGCAGGGATTCCACACAGTCTCCCAAGCTGCTCTCTCACAAGAGGACCTACAGCGATGAGGCTAGCCAGATGCGTGTGGCTCCTCCCCGGGCCCTTCTCGACCTCCAGGGCCACCTTGATGCTGCCTCCCGCTCTTCCCTCTGTGTCAATGGGAGCCACATCTACAACGAGGAGCCCCAGGCCCCCTTGCGGCACCGCAGTTCCATCTCAGGCCCATTCCCACCCTCCAGCTCCCTGCCTGGTGTCTCTTCCCGGCCCTCTGAGGAGGTGCCTCGGTCCTCGGAGGACTCCTGGGGCAGAGGCAGCCGTGGCACCAGCAGCTCGGAGGTGGCGCCTGGACAAGAGGACTTGGGCACTCAAGCCAAAGTATTGGCCACTGGGGCTAGCCATTCTGGAGACGTGGAAGGGGTCCGGCATCCAGAAGGAAAGCCGGTCCAGGTTGCCACACCGATGGTGGCCTCCTCTGAGGCTGTGGTAGAGAAGGAGGGAGCTCGAAAGGAAGAGCGGAAGCCCCGGATGGGCCTCTTCCACCACCACCAGGGGCTGAGTCGCAGCGAGCTGGGACGCCGCAGCTCTGTGGGGGAAAAGGGAGGTCCTGCCCTGGGGGCCTCCCCCCACCACTCATCCAGTGGGGAGGAAAAGACCAAGAGTAGCTGGTTTGGCCTGAGAGAAGCCAAGGAACCAACCCATAAACCCAGGTACGTCCTTAGCAAGACTAGCTTTGCTCCTTGGGGAGGATGCTGAGGTGTTTGCTGCCTGGGACCTGGGGCAGGACCAGGGAGCAAACATGACCCTCGGGCAGGCTGCTGGCTTCGCATGGTTAAGTGGGGTACCCTGTTTCCTTAAGCTAAGGCTCGTTCTGTGCACCTGGACACAGGTAAGTTGCAAGATCACAGTGTCCTGAGGGTCCTGTCAGTGGAGGTTGTCCTTTGTCCCTGCTGCCTGAGTTAGCATGCCCAGTTCCTGAGGGAGGGACAGATAGGAGAAAATCAAGAAGGGGTTATCTCTAATAGATTCTTGGCTTCCTTACCTCTCCACCTCTTGCCCTTTAATCTCAAGGTGAGAAAGCCTTAGCAAGTAGTGAGGTGGGAACAGGGGACACCTCACCTTTGCTGAAGCTAGATGACTTCAGTTCAGCTGCCCTGCTGGCTCTGGGACCTCTTCCTGCTAAGGAATAGGGGTCAAACAATTGTTGCTTTTCCTTCTTCTTACTCCCAGTTGTTTCCTAGCCTGGCAAGAGGCCATAGTAGCTTCCCTGAAATATATAGTCCCCTAGCCCCTGCCTCCTGGGCTCAGGCCCTTTCTAGTGTCTGGTGGTCTTGAAGTATAGCACTGTCGGAAGTGCTGAGCACAGTTACTGTCTTTTGAATGTGACAAGTTCCACAGCTTGGCCCCCAGGCAGAACCCTGACCTCTACCCTGGCCCCTTTGTGGCCCCCTTGCCTTGAGCCAGGGGAGGCTGCTGCATTGTCTGGCAGGTCCAGGGAGGAGCTTCAGATGTAGGTCAGAAGCCTGTGTTCCCCTTCCCAAGGGCCTGGACCTGCCTGGATGGCAGCATAAGTAGCAGCCCTAGCCAGTGTGGAAGGCCAGTTGTTTCAGTCCCTCAGCAAGCCTGCCCTCCCCACTGGATGGGTGTAGGGACATGTGGGAAGACTGGGCCAGTGGTGAAGGGTCAAGAGATAGAGGAGAGGGAGGACCCTGCACCTGTTCTTCAGCAGAGGGGAGAGGAATCCTATAGTCTTGCTTTTTCTCTTTCCTTTGGAAATTGAGTCTGCTGAGAGGAGGAGGGGGTGAGGTACAGGGCCTTCCTGGGTTGGGGCCAGGCCAGATGGTGGTCCTCTTTAGAGGTTCATATGCAAGGGGTGTTGGGGCTGGATTAGTCTCAGGGTGATGCTGCCCTTTGCCTCCCCTGCTTAGTACAGCTGGTTCTGTACCTTCTTCCCAGCCCCTACCCACCAATGCCTAGGAGACTGCTGGCCATCTGTAGCCTAGGGGACGCTTGGGAAGAATTGGGTGGGTCTTTGCCAGGTTGCCAGACTGAGCCTGGTGGTCCTATAACAACCAGAGGTACCGGAGGTGGTGGGCAGGGCATTTGCTGGGAGGAGCTGGGGGCATGGGGCAGAAGGGCACAAACTTTAGGATCAGTGCTATTGTCTGTAGGGGATCTGGATCTTTTTCAGGGCACGTTGGATATTCTGTGAGTATCTCTGTGAGATTGTAGGTGAGAACTCAAGCTTTGGGCTCAGACTCTTCAGACTGACTGTGAATGATATTGGGCGGTTGTTATCTTCTGGGCTCCCTCCAGTCTCCATTTTCCTTTTGTGTCCCCATGTCTTTTAATGGCCTTTCAGAGTCTGGAGAATTTGGGTTGCTAATGGATGTAAGGAAGCTGAAGTTCTGCTCACAGTTGAATCATGAGCCTTGTTCCCACTAGGCTGGAGGGTTCCCAGGGATCCCTGTCTTCCCTGGATCATTAGCAGGTAGCAGCTACAGGGTAGGCCCTGGTGGTACATCCAGGTAGGGTGGGAGGAACTATTCTGGTTAAATGCCTGGCCTGGAGCAGCACCCTGCCTCATATGCCTTACAGGGAAGGGAAACCTGGCCTGTAAGAAATGATTTTTGTCTCTGACTTGGAATGGTTGCTTAGGGCTTCTGAGGAGACAGTGAGAGGTGGGACAGCTCACAGCAGCCACAGGCTGTAGGCTAGACCCAGAACTATAGTAGCTGAATGCAGCTGCAGGATCTCCAGCTGGGACATGAGGAGCCTGTCTGTAGGCCTAGGGTTTGGGGTGCTTCTGCCCTTGGGGCTATTGTAGATTTCTGGGTGTTCCTCTCTAGCAAGGGCAATGGCGCCCTCTAGTGCTTCCATGTGGCATCAGTGCCCTATGGAGCRCCCTGAAGCTGAATGTCCGCTTGCAGTGTTGTTGCCAAACACAGGTTGGTAGAGAAGGAATGGAGGCYGGAGGAGCAGAGAAGGTCCTTCTGACGTGACCCTTAGTCTGCTGGTCTGGGGCTGTTACTCTGGGCCCCTGCTTGTGTGGAGGAGGGTCAGTGAGAGGTAGTTGAGACCGACTCCCATCTGGGTCGTAGGATTTATCAGTGTTCTCTGACCCTGTTGTAAGTCATTTGTGCTGAGCAATTTAGTGTGTGCTTGAGGGCAGGCAGCAGCCACTCATGTTAACCTGTCAGTGCCAGAGTAGATTGTTTTTCTGCCTGTTCCTTGTTTTCCTCATCCGCCCCCCACCCCCAATCAGGCTAACCCTAGAACTTTGAGCACTGGAAGGAATCAAATGCAAATACACCCCCCACCCCCCGGAAAAAAAGTGGGGACATAAGTTTGGTACAACAGAGGGGCAATTGAGTCATTACAGTGGCCTTTGGCATYTCTGCCTTTCCTCAGCCCCTCCCCAGATATGGGGGACAGCGGTCCCTGTGGGCCTGGGATGTGCTATGGTAGCTGGAGGGGCATGATATTTCTGGCTGTGTCCTGGGTGGTGTAAATGAAAACTGTGATATGTGCCCAGTTACTTAAGAGTTGGTCAGGCCTTCTGTCCAGTTTGTGTCTGGTTTCCTGGCATAGTTATTATATTGAAAGTATTTTCATTTGGAAGAAATGATGGAGTCTTCCTAGTTATAACTTACAAGGGTCCTGTCTATCACCTTATTGTGACAGATGATGGGAGAATGTGTGCCTAGCTTTCTGGTAAGGTTTCCTGGACACTGGGGCACATCTCAGGAGGACGCCAGGAGGCTATGCCTGAGGAGGGATGGCGGAAGTGCACACTGGCTGCGGCTGGGTGTGCCTTGAAGGCTGGCTTTGGCCCCTGTGGGACTGCTTGGTGGAAGGCCTATGCAGATCCATTTTTGCCGTTTTGGGAATAATGCATGGGACAAGGACACAGAACTCATCTCAGCCTAAGGAAGAGTGGCTACTAGTGAAAGCTGCCCCTAGCTACAGAGGTGGTGGGAGGTTTGGTGTTTAAGTCAGTGGCAGGTCGCGAGGGTGGGGTTCAGTGGTAGAATGCTTGCCGCCTGAAGTTCTGGGTTCTAGCCCCAGTACTGCAAAATAAATAAATAAATAAAAGGCCTTCTATTTACCTAAGTGAATAGGTGATTTACATTAAGTCGCAGGTTCCAGCCTATCATCCCAAGTTCCTGTGTGTCCTAACATTTTATCCCCCAGATTAAAGGGGCAGAGTTATTTGGTCTTCTGATTTCTTGCCCCAACATTTGGCTCTAAATGAGAAGATAAGTCAGCATAATTTTGTCCCCACTGCTTAGGGGTGGCCAGTACAGTGGGTTCCAGGACTTAGAAAAATTTTCTCTGGTCTCAGACCCCAGCCTACAGAGTTGGACCACACARGGGAAGGTGCTTCTGACCTGTGCCAGGAGTACTGGCAGGGAGAGGATGTTTTGAAGTGAGATCCTTCAGAATGTGCCCTTGGTGTTGATAGGGAGAGGACAGATGAAGGGGAGAGTGTTCTGGAGATCAGGATGTACAGAATGCTCTCAGGCACCCCTGCTCTGGGAAGCCTGCTGTGCCTGGCGCCTTGTACCCAGAGCCCCGTTCTCTGGGGAGARCCCTTAGTGGATTCCATACCAACGAGTTCATGTTCGTCTCTGGAGAGCCATGGTGGGGAGGGAGGCTGCTGAGCCTGGCTTGGCCTCCCTGTGTTCCTCCTCTTGCAGTGGTGACTGCCACCAGGCTCCTGTGAAACTTCCTGGGTGAGTGGGGGGCCAGGCTGAGGCTGCAGGGTTAATGAGGCCCTCATTCCCAGGTCACTCTGGCCACTCATCACAAAGGGAACTGGGAGAGAGGTGGCCCAGACCTGGCTGTGACCCGCCCTCCCTACTCCTGTCTCTGGGATCCACCTTTGCCTCTGGTTGAACTGAACTCCTTCCCATTGCCTGCCTGATTCTGTGTGCAGGCCTGCCCTGTCTGGACCCTGGCAAGCTCCAGACAGCTCAGCCTCTTTCCACKGATGCCCTGTTCCCCCAGCCTACATTTCTTATGGACCATCTGGTGAGGCCTGGCTTCTGCCGCCTCAGGGCTTACCACCCACATTTCTTGTAGAAGAAACTGAATGGAGAAGATGGGCGTGGAGTTTTCCCTCTGATGTTTCCATCTAGGCAGGCAGAGGTCTAGGAGTGGGCCTTGGGAGCTTGGAGAGGGGGCCAGATGCCAGCCACGAGGAGTGAGACTGCTAGAGCAGTGGTGAGGCCACCAGGTGTAGGTCTGACTGTGGGCTTAGCTGTAACTCCTGTTAGACTCCAGGAAACCCTGGTGTTTGGTCTGCTTTCCTCCTACAGTTTTTCTGGCCTCCAGTCTGTGTCTTGGGGCAGCAAAAACTCTAAGTTTAGAGTATGCCCAGGCATCTCTGGAATGGGCTTTGTTCATAGGTATGGCTGAAGTGCTGGAAGGCCCTGTGGTGGTCTCCAGTGTTTGGGGGGACTATAGGTTCACTATTAAGGAATGGGTTTCCTGAGAGGACCTACCCTGTCCCTGCTTTGTCATGCCCCTGCCCTCAGGGTGGCCAGAGATTTGTGTGGGGACCCTGGAGATTTATACAGAGTTGCTGTGGCCATTACTTCCCCATTCTTTATCTCCCAGGGCTGATCCACAAGGGAGGTGAGGTGAGGGGGCACCATGGGCAGGCGCTAGGCTATGTGGATACCCAACAGGAGGTGTCCTCGGCAGGAGCCTGTCTTCCCTGGTGGATTAGGTTGCCCCTCAAAAAAATGAGATGGGCCTTCCTCTTTGATGATCACCTTGTCAGGCTGGATGACAGTCCATTCTTACCTGCTTCTTCAGGGAATCAATGCAGCCCAGTTTGTTTCAGGAGCCCAAATTCTAGGTGTCCTGCTTGGTTCTCTTAGTGCCGGTCCTGTCCAGCCAAATATCCAGGCCTGGCCTTATTCTGTTCTCTCTCTCCTCCAAGCTGGCTAGTGTCTTTGCTCTCAGTCCTAAAAGAGATGCCAGGTACTTTCAGATGTTTTTGGAGTATAAATTTGACAAAGAGTTAAGTGTAAATTTGATAAAGACTCTTCAGCATGGGACAGAGGAGGGAACACTTGGTTTAGGTTTGGATCCTGCTGTAAGATGGGGGTCGGTATAAGGATTAAGTTAGTTGTGCCCAGCACCCTTCTCCTTGGGTGGTGCCTAATAAGTCATATGTTGGATCTTCTTTCTGGCCCCTGGCCCAAGTAGTGCCATGGCACCTGGTCTTGAAGGTAGGGGTGGGGGCGTRGTACTCGGCAGGGCCTTTTCCAGTCTCAGCATTAACCAGGAGGCTCATGGTTTTGTCTCCCTCCACAGCCTGGACGTGTCTCCTCAGGTAGAACCTGACCCAGCTGCTCCTCACCACTTCCCCTGCTCCCCCTGGGCTCCGGCCCCCCCCACTCCTGCTCCCACCGCTGCTCCCATGCTAAGCACTAACCTTTTTGCAGCCGCCTCCCCTGCTGCTGCCACCGCCACCATCACCCCCGAAGCCACCCCATCTGGATTCTTGGGTGTCACCAACCCGTTCCTCACCTCCTTGCAGAGCAACCCCTTCTTCGAGGAGCTCATAGCCAACATAGCACTAAACTCTCCTTCACCTGCTCCCTCTCTCCCCAGTGCCTCGAGGGCCAGCCCCGCCCCCCTGGCCTCCCTTGGGAAAKCCCTGCCTGAGTGGGACGACACCTTCAACATCTTTGCTGCTAGCAGGCTGCATCCGGAGGCCAGGAGCGAGATCCTGGCCCCTGAAGGAGTGGGGCTGGAGGCGGCTGGGCTGCAGGCCCCAGGCCCCAGGGCCTTGACAGTGAAGGCAGCTGAGCCCCAGGGAGACCCTGGGGGAGGAAGAGGTGGGAGCAGCATGTGGCTGGAGCCTGGGGCTCCTCTGGACTCTGAACTGGACCAGCAGAACACAAGTGCATCTGACCCAGGGCCCCTTGGGTCAGCTGGGCCTGGCCTGCCCTCTGCATCAGCCCAGCCGCAACTGAGAGCCTCGACCTCAGCACCAGACAGGGAGCCGCTGGACCCAGAAGTGGGAGCTGGACAGAGTCCAGCAGACAGTGGGACATCTCTTTTCAGCTCTCCAGAAGTGATCAGTGTGTGGGAGAGGCTACCAGGTTCAGATGACACTCCTGAGGGCCAGGATGAGGAGGCCCCCAGAGGTGAAAATCAGCTTTTCCATGAGCTCAATACAGATGATTCCTGGCCTTGGGATGTGGTCTCCATTTCTCCTGCAACTGAGATGGCCTCAACTGTCCTGCAAGGAGAGTCTGATGTGCTCTCTCCTCCCCGGGTGCAAGCAGAGTCACCAGAAACTGTGATCCTCAAGGGAAGCAAGGGGCCTCCCCCCYTGGAGCTGGAGCCGGAGCCAGAGGAGCCAGAGGAGCCAGAGCCGGAGCTGGAGCCTAAACCCCAGCAGGAGCAGGAGGAGGGGCTGAGGCCCAGCACACCACCTCCCAAGCCACCCCGCCTCTTYACACCCTCAAATTCTCAAGTGGAGGAAGAGGAGGAGGAGGAGGAGGAACAAGAGAAGGCTACAGGGGGATTGAGTAGCTGGGGGGCAGGGGCAGGAGGAGAAAACTCTACCCCAGATGCACTCACTGTTGGTCCATTGGAGACCAAGGGGGAGGGCAGGAAGCCTGACTCAGAGGAGTCTGATAGCCGGTCTTCTGGGACCCTGCTAGGTGAGCCAGGTCTGGAGGAGCTAGTAGAGGATCCCAGCCCCTCTAGGTCTGGGGCCTGCCCGTCTGTGCCCATCAGGTGTCCTGAGGGTCATGTCCCCATACCCTGTAATTCATTAAGYTTGGCACTGCCCAGTCAGCAGATTGCAGGGACTCTAGACAGGGGAGAAGGCTCTGAGGCCCAGAGTCTAGGGCCAGTCGGAGAGAGGCATGGGCCTTTGTCAGTCACCCCCCAGCAGGCTGATCTGTGGGCCTCAGAGGATGCCTTGAGACCCTTCTTGTCTCAGGAGAGCCGAGATCCCCCTAGCCTCCCATCTACATCCCCACCAGGGTCCAGGGAATCTTCTATCCACTCTGGTCCGGAAGAGCTGCCCACGCCCCCAGAACCTGCCTTTCCTCCGCCCCCTCTCCCGCCCTGGGCCAGTCACCGCCATGTGGGTCCAGGCCTTCTGTGCTCTCCCTTGCCTGGAGCCTGGCCCCTGACCTCTACCTCCCCACCCCCCGGGGAGCCAGCCTCACCCCCCCGCCCCTTTGAGCCCTCCCTCCCTGGAGGCTCCCCTGCCCCTGAAGGGGAAGACCACGCTGCAGCCACCCCAGCCTCCCCGCTTGTGCTTCTGCCCTTGGAGACACGACCAGCTGAGGAGCTACAGCCCCGTGCCAGGTGAGCATCCATCCACCTCCCATCAGGAGGAATGGGAATGGGGCCCAGTATAGCAGTGGGTGAGGTGTTCACATCCCAGCCTCCTCCTTGCTCTACCCCAGGCAGGATGGTGGAGGCTGTGAAGTCTTGAGCTTTCTCTGGTACCAGCCCTGAAGCTGCCTCCATCATGGGGCCTTGGACAATCAGGGTGGCCCCATAAGCCGGGAGTTTGGGGGACAGCACTGACAAGGAGGAGGGAGTAGGGAACAAAGTTGGGGAGAGCAGTATGTGCTGGCAGGAGGGGGGTGAGAGCCTTGCATGCAAGGCAGGGGGACTGCGGATAGGAGTGGAGCTTGCTAAACATGGATGTCCACCCAGTTCTTCTGACAGGAGGTGGGGGAGCAGGCTGGCAGTGAAGCTGCGGACTGTTTTATGTCCAGGTGAGGTGAGGACTTGGATCAGAGAACCAGAGGAGGGTCAAAGGTCAGAGAGGAAGTGGGAGAAACCCTCAGAGGAGAGAGAGGAAAGCTAAAATGCTTCTCACATGTGGCAAAAGAAGGCTTTCTGCCTCTGCAGCACATTAGCCACTTGTCTGTCTTTGGTTTCCTGCCTTTCAGAGGCACCAGCCTCTAGGGTCAGTAGGACTGCTGAGTGGACCAAGGAGGCCTGTGTGATTTTGGTCACTGGGCCTTGGTTTGGGGGTTGCAGGTGTAGGGTGTCAGGGGCACAGGTCTAGAGGCTCAGGATTGGGATATGGTAAGTGTGGCTCAGCTGGCTGCAGAGTCTAGGGGACCAGGAGCATTCTAAGAAGGGGTGAGCAGAGGGGCTGCTGCTCCTGATGAGCACGTGGGCCCTGGGGTACAGTCAGGCCTTCATCCCTCATTAGCTCACACGTTAGTCACTTGAGTTCCCTGAGCATCTGCTCTATGTCAGACCCAAGGAATTCCCAGTCCAGTGGGGAAGACAGGTCCCAGAAAGAAAGGCCTTGGGGGCAACTGCTGGCACTGAGAAGTGGGTGGGAGGGAGTCTGGATGCCCCATCTTTCTCCTCCAGCTGTGGGTAGTGCTGTGCCACCTGTGATAGGGGGAGCAGGCGAGGGATCTGGTGGTTGCAGCTTCCTCGCTTCCTGAACACAGCATTGTCAGCTGGCCCCCAGCCTCCAGCACGACCTTTAATTACACATGCCACTTTTTGAAAGTTTTGTCTTTTCAGAGTTGGCTTCATGTCTGTGCTTTGCATGGTGAAGCAGAGCTAACCCCATTTCTCAGATAAGAGCTGCAGGGACCAAGGTCCTTCAGATGTGGGGCAGTTGGACTGGAGCCCAGGCTTCCTGCTGCCAACTTACTTAGGGTATTTTTTGCTGTACTGGTCATCCATTCCTGCACCACCATAGATGGCCCCCTTAGAAGTGTTGTCGTACCCATTTCTAGTGTGGATTCCTAGGTGGCAGTTAAGCACCTGGTTTTTTCCCTACTCTGCCCTGCTGCTGGGCACATGGCCACTCTTCCAATACTGTGTGACTGAATCTGCAGCACTACCCCAAGTAACAGAGCTGCTTCTCTGGGTCTTTGGGCCATTTTGCTTCCAACTTCTGAATGGCCTAAAGCCTCTGTAGAGGGAGCATAAATTTGTAAGAGGTCCCCCAAGGACAGGTTGGCTGATTTGAGAGCCTGATGCTTATAGCTTATACAAGTGTTATAAGTGCAGGGGAGCCCAGAAGAGGCTCATCTTAGCCTGAGGGAATCAGAAAGCCTTCTTGGAGGAGGTGGCTTTGCACTGCTTTCAAACAGGAGTAGGAATAGGCCAGTGGGAGGAAATGGCAATACTTCAGATACAGGACTAGCTTTTRTGAGGTCCTTAACAGATAGCACTCTTTCTCTTTCTTGCTGGGGAATGGTGGGCCACGAGAAAAGGGCAGGCCCCAGATTTTGTTAGATTGTGTTCTCACTTTGATGGGAGCCATTGAAGGGTGGAAAGGTGAAATCATTATCCTGCAGCAGAGTGGGAGGTGGTTGGAAGTAGGCAAGATTTGCTTGGCAGAGCTGTTATCTGTGGCTGGAGGAAATGTGTAGCTAGCCCTGGCTTGAAGAGAAGATAGGAAGGTAGGAAGGTGGCAGGGCTTGATTGATGAAGGCTGAGGCTGAAGAGGACAAGTCAGAAGGACACCCAGGTTTTTGACTGGGCCCTGGGAGGCTCTCTGCTGGGGGAGCTCAGAGGAAAAAGCAGGTGGGAGGAGAGCATGTGGCACCAGAGGTGGATCATGAGGGAAYGATTGAGCCAGCCTGCAACTGTTTGCACTGGTCTAGAGTCTGAAAGTCAGGTCTGGGCTGGAGCTGGAGACTTGGGTGGGAGGCTAGGTCAGGAGGAACATGAAGGGGAGAGACACCAGGGGCAGACCAGCAGTTGAGCCTGAGATAAGGCCCTCAGGTGGAGGTATTGGGGCAAGAGGAGGGAGAGCAGCCTAAAGGAAGGAGTAGTACAGGTGTGGATTGGACTCCAGAGAGGCAAGGAGGGGAGATGCCAGGCCCACTGCCACAGCAGRTTCTCCTGTCCTGGGCTGAGGTCCTGTTCTCATGGGTTGAGGAGTCAACAAAAGGTAAGAAATTAGATACACAGTGTGGCATCCATGCTCTGGAGCAGTTTGGGTTTGAGGAAAGTGGTGATGACTGAGGTTGAGCAAGCAAGTACAGGTTGAGGGGACTTCCAAGCCTGACTGGGTGCACAAGTGATTATAGCAAAGCCAAGAACTTCAGGTCTTTCCTGGTTTTAGCTCTGAAATCTCATGTTCTGGGAATCCCCACAGTCCTGGGGAAGCTGGGAAGGTTGGCTACCTCCCTAGAGAAAGTATAGAAGAGGAGGAAGGGAAAATGGCTGGAGGCTGGTGTCCCTGGCAAATTCCCAGTACAATGCAGAAATTTGTAGAGTGGCCTCTGCCAAAGAACCAGGTCATTAGGTCAAAGGGGGAATGAAATGTGGAGAGGGCATGTGGTGGGACGCAGATTGAGGCATGCAGGGTGCTGCTGCCCAAGAGACCTCAGCTGTACAGCAGACTTGGGGCTCTACAGAGAAGGTGGCCCCACCTTCCCAGTGCCACCCTTCTCCCCTCATAACCCATCTTCTGTCTTTGCAGTCCCCATCCCGTGAAGCCCCTCAGTGCTGTCCCTGCAGAGGGCATTTCTGATAGGAAGCAGTCCCGCTCCAGTCTGAGCACAGCTCTGAGCAGTGGGCTGGAGAAGCTCAAAACAGTSACATCTGGTGGTATTCAGCCTGTGGCTCCGGCACCCCAGCTTGGCCAGATGGTGGACACCAAGAGATTAAAGGTGAGACCCAGGGTGCCAGGGGCAATCTGACAGAACATGGTGCTGTGGAGGGGCCTGTAGCATTGGGAGGGTGGAAGAGTGAGCAGGCCAGGTCCCCATGCCACAGTCCTGAAGTTGGTTAGCCCGTCTCTGGCATCTGAAACAGTTAGCTCTGGGGCCTGTGATGGGGTACTGGGGTGTAGGTGGGCAGTAGGCCAGGGGCTGCTCTGCTCATTCTCATTCCATCTGGCTTCAGGACTCTGCTATGCTGGACCAGTCGGCCAAGTACTACCATCTGACCCACGACGAACTCATTGGCCTGCTCCTGCAGCGGGAGCGGGAGCTGAGCCAGCGGGATGAGCATGTGCAGGAGCTGGAGAGCTACATCGACCGGCTGCTGGTGCGGATCATGGAGACCTCACCCACACTGCTGCAGATCCCCCCTGGGCCCCCCAAGTAGCCTCCCTTGTCCCCATCCCTAGAGGGTTGGTGAGGACCTGCTACCCAGACAGGGGCTGTGACCACCTGCCCGCCCACCCTCCCTCCTGCTGAGCACATTCTCATCTGGGACGGGGTGCAGTCTGTCTTCCTGGCCACTCCATGCTCCCTCTCCCTCCTGCCTCTACTGGGGCTGCTGGAAGTGAGCCCTTGGACTCCCGTTAGAGCCTCAGGTTCCTTTACTACCATGCGTCTCTGGGAGCACTCAGTCTTTCCCACCTGCCTGTTTTCATAACCCTTAGCTTTGGGGGCTCCAAGAAATTGGAATAGGGAAATTAGCCCCCAAGATGGAACAGGGAGAGCTGCAGTTTGATGTGGTATCTGGGACCAGACTGCTGTAGCACAGACTTTATTATCCTCCAAGGATGTCAGCCATTCCTTCCCATGGCCAATCCCTCATCTTCTTCATTTCCTAGTATTGCTGGGTCTGGGACAGGACCAATTTGCCTGTTTGTAGGTTGTAGGCAGCTAGTGTGCCTGTTCTGCCCCGTGCCCATCCCGAGAGCAGGGAGCCCATGTGGCCTGGTCTGTTCTGCTGCGTCCTGAGTCTGTTTCTGTTTGGAGCTGCTTGTATCAGGGGTGCAGTATAGATGGAGGTGGTGCCGTGTGCTCTCCAGGCTGCTCCCTGCCCTTCTCTGGACCTTTCCACTGAGTGTCATGGGTGACTGTGGAGGTAGGGTTGGGTCAGGGGAGAGCCCCTTGATTTTCAGGTTCTCACCCACCTCTGATGTGTGGACCTGTCCAGGTCTGAGCTTTGGGCTGCTTTTGTTTTGGGGATAAAGCCTCCACATCTGTTCTTATTGTCTGTCCAGATGCCAAAACTCTGTGCTGCTGCAGGGTTTGAAATTTTGGAAACAAATTAAAACGTGCCTTTTGCGGGTGGGGTCAAGAGCCTCTGGATGTAGACCTTTCCTTCCTGGTGGCCTCCCCCTCCTGTTGAGCACTTGGGGGTGGCTCTGGGAAGGGGAAGAGGGGATGGAGGTAGCCTTGCTCTGTGCTCTTCCCTTCCCAGAGTTAATCTCAGCTAAGAGCCAGGCCAAGTGCTGCTGTCTCCTCGGCCTTCCTGCCATCTTGCCCATTTCCCTCCTAGGCAGATCCTAGGATAAAAACTTCTGATGGGAGCAGGCCTGAGGCTGCTCTGCTCACTCTCATTCTGTCAGGCCTCAACCAAGCAGCAGTTGGCTGCTCTGGAAGTGGGAGGGCACACTATGCCTTAGGAGACTCCTGTACATAGAGAAAAAAGCCTTTGTTGCCCTCCCACCTATCCACTAAGCTTCTGTCCTGGCCTGTCCCTTCATCCCYCAGCACCTTGCCTGGCTTGGCTGCAGTGCACTTTGAAATGAAGTATCTGCCCTTTGGCTCAGCCCCTGGTTTGTTTATGGAAAGCGTAGTAGGCTATCCCCATGACATCTGCAGGGACCCTTTGGTGGCTTGGGCATCCTTCATTAGCAAAGGGTGGGAGGTGAGAAGATGCCAAAGGAGGGTACTTTTGGCCCATTGAAGAGGCARGAGCCCTTCTGGGGCTTCCTTCTTCATGAGAGCCTGCGGGCTCACTCAGAAAGCCTCATAGGAGATGGGCTTTGTGGGTGATGTCAGTCTTCTGCCAGGATGCACAGGAGCCCCATACATGGGGGAAAGCCCCTGCAGAGTTGACATCTTTAATGTCCACTCAGCATAGCTGAGAAAAGTATCCATAGGTGTCCAGATTTTCAGTTATGTTTTTTGGAGTGATTGGGGGGTGGAGGTGTCTCTTGAGTAAGGAGATCACTCCCCTACTAGGTATTCCTCTGGGCTCTAGGTGATCCCAGCTCCAGTCCTGACCTTTCACCATCCTTGATTTTGGGCCTCTCATGTGCTCAGGGCAGGGGTGTCTTTAGAAGAAGGTTTGAATTGAAATCCAGAATTCTTGTTTGATGTTTCTGTTCTGGCCACAAGATGGAGAAGAGCTGCCGTGGGGTGGTCAGGAAGCAGGTACCATTCTGCTTAGCTGTTTGTCTTACTAGTTGTAACTCCTCTGTTTATAAAGAGCTTGTTCTTCATGTTTCAAGCACTTTATGAAGAATAAAATTTCACATACTGCAGGTGGTCTGTCTTGTTCCTGTTTTGGAATGAGTGTGTGAAGGAGGCTGCCTGTGGAAGAAGGCAGCCTTGAATTGAAGTGGGTGGGGTTCACCGATGATATCACAGGGCAGCAGTATAGTGTTGCCCAATGGCTGGGACTCAATCTTTCACCAACTCACAGGATCTCTATTAATTAGACATCTATTATGGCCATGTTTATTGGTACAGTGAGGAAATACAGATGGCAAGACTTGAATTCTGTTCTCAAGCTACTTTGTCAAGTCTAGTRGGGGGAGATAAATTACAAATCCAAAACACAATTGTTCCTTATAGTTAGCTAGATTCTCTTTTCAGCTAAAGGAAAATTCTGTTTCTTATTGCTCAGCCATTAGTGCTACAACCTATGCAGGGTTCAGAAAGGTATGGGCGGACATGAGCCAACCCTGCACTTTATCCTGAGACCAAGAAGACCCAAAGTGAGGTTTCCCAGAGTCAAGTCCAATATGATTTCACTGTCTTCGGTGAAACAGACAGCCCCTTATACCCCCAGTCTGGTTCATTGACCAGATTCAACCAGGAGTCTTAAGCTGCTCTATGTATAAGTGTTTACTATCCTTGCTAGGGTTGCTCCTTATCTAAAGTCCTTGGAGCTGGTACTTGCAAGGCTACTTAACCCTATTTTCAGCGGGCTCCCCCCACCTCCCTCCCACACCCCGACAGTTCTCTTCCTCCCAGAAAGTAAGGCCCAGGAGGGATCTTCCTTGGTTGGTCAAAGAAGGTGGAGGGCATGAAGGACTGGGGGGCAAAAGCCCAGCTTACTCTAGGAACCGAGTGTTAGTATGACTGGAGAGCACAGGGTGGGAGGTAGGGTGGTGATACAAGAAACTGTAGGAAAATTCAGCATTGCAAGTCCTTGCAGAAAGACCTCCCAGTTAACCCCCACTTCACCTGGAGTCCTTGCCCATCTGGTCCCTGGTCAGACCCGTTGGTGGAGGGCCCTTGTTCTGGGCTGCCGCTTCAGGCGCGACGTCTGTGACATCAACCCAAACTTCTGTGGGCAGGTTAGTAGCGAGGGGCCGCCCGGCGTTCCCCTACCGGAACCTCAGGGCCATGCTTACATACCTTTCCCGTACTACCGACCCCTGCAACACCGAGACGGAGGCTGCGTGGATGCAACTCTCCGCARTCTGAGGTTGTCAAGATTCTAAGGAGAGAAAAACTACACTTCCCACAACCCCTTGCGCGCCCTGCTTGCTGCGGTTGCTCATGGCCAATCSGGAGAGGCAGCTGTGGCGGGGGCCGAGGAGGGACATTTTAAAAGGGCCGGGGATTGCGGGCGTCAGTGGCCATGGCGGATACAGCGACTACAGCATCAGCGGCGGCAGCTAGTGCCGCTAATGCTTCGACCGATGCACCGCCTTTCCAACTGGGTAAACCCCGCTTCCAGCAGGTGAGGACCGGAGCTGTGATCTGCATGTCGGCGGGTGGCATAGGAAGGGCTGGCAAACTCCCCTCCAAAGTCCCCTTTAGCCCAAGGGTCTCCGACCCGCGGCCACCGGAGCCTGCAGTTAGTGCCGCGGGGACCTCGGCCACAACCACCCTTTTCCCATTGGTCAATGGGCCGGGTGAGGACTCCCAGTTTGACTTCCTATTGGCGGTTGTTTCTGTCACTCCTCTCCTGCCCGCGCCCTCCAGTCCTTCTCGCCCGAGGCGCCCTTTGATTGGCTACTGACGACCGAGGCCCGGACTCCCGGGCGCCCGGGTCYGGTCTGCTTTTGCAGGGTCGCTCCAGCTTGTGCAGCCGCCCACTCCCGGTGCAAAGTTCGGGCCCGGCCCTGGGTGAGAAGTTGGCGTGGCCAGGATGCCTTCTAACTTTTCCCCCGACTAGGACTGACTTTCCTTCCGAGCTGCAGGCTGAGCCTCCGTGCAGCTCCCGCACCTCGCGATCATACTTCCATTCCTCTACCCGCAAGTGGGGTCCGCGCTGCACCGCAGGGTGGGACCACGTGCCGAGTTCTGCGGCTCCCCGGCCTCTCCCATCCCCCAGCCGGGAATTCCCTGACGCAGCGAGTCGGCTGGCCGGTGCCCCGCAGAGATGGAGCTGGGACAAACCTGGAGAGCTAGGGGTGCGGAGGAAACGCTGTGTCATCCCCTGGGGCCGCAGTCCCTAGGAGGGTGCGTGGATCCGGGAACCAGCCCCAGCCTTTCCCTCGCTGAGTCCTCCGGTACCCCGGCCCAGGCACCACGGGGCGTTTGGCTCTGTCCAGATCCACTCGGACTCTTCTGGGCACGATGATTGTGTTTCTTTTCTTTCTGGACCCCCGCCTGGGYGCCGATAACTTGGTACTCGGGTACCGAGACAGGGATGGAACCTGCAGTCCCGACGTGTTGGCTGGGCCCGGGAGACCGGAGCCTAGGAGGGGCAATTCCCACTCCGCAGACCCCGGGGCCCTGCTGTCTCCAGCGCTGAAGAAGCGCACTTTATTAGGAAAAGGGCGAAGAGACTCAGCTAAAGCGAACCGGGGATTTCGATGGGTGGGGTGGGTGGCAGAGGAGCCAGAAAGAACTTTGCAGGAAGAAAGGCTATGGTACAAAGGTCGGTGCAGTGGCTTGCTTGCTTTTCTTTTTTTTTTTTTTCTTTTTTGGCTGCAGTTGTGGGAGGGGGACTGGATCCAGCCTTGAGGTTTGATGATAATTAAGGAACTGCTCTCCTTATCCCTTTGAAAAAATGTCCCCGGGGTTTTTAAATGGGACTAGATTGTTTTTTAAAAAATAGATCATCTCAGCATGTAGGTATCTGAGAAGATACTGTCATCTTTCTGCTAGTGTAAGATGCCACCTATGGCGAAACTGGGGGTGGGGTTCTCCTGCCTCACCTGGGGTGACCCTTCATTCCTTTCTACATTTCCCATTCTGCTCATCCTTCAGTCAAGCTTAGGCCAGTCTCAGGCTGTGGTGTCTTTACCCCCTGGTCTGATTAAATCAGGTAGCTGATTCCTTCCTGGAAGCCTCTTTGGCCACCCATAAAGACTTTTCCACCACCACAACCTTTCCCTGAAGTCTTTTCTGTTGTTCTCTACACCGAGGTTATTTGGTCTCAAACCTCATGTAGGTCTTTTGAGAAAACATTACCCTGCGGTGCTATGTAGGTAGTTAGGCTTTTAATTAGGTGTTGAGTAAAAACTTCTCCTCTTGCCTCCCCTTGTTCCTGTTATCTGTGTGTGGCCCTTGGAATATTCAGTCACCCAATAGATATTTATGGGGTACCTCTTAGTGGCTTAATGACTAGGCCCTTTGCTGTGGAGCCATAGATGCACGTTGGAGGCTATTTGGTTCCTACTGCTGTTGCTGGTCCCTCTTTTGGGCAGTAAAGTGTGTGTTGCATTTGCTCTTGAAGCTGTCCAACATAGTGGCCTGCATAAAGAACAGTGCCTGAGCACATGTGATTCATCCATGTTAAGGATCTTCTCTTTCCTCCAAACCTGCTCTTCCCACACTCTTCCCTGGCTCTCTGCAAGCAGCTCAGCTTGCCACCCAAGTGCTAGTCRTAAACCTGGGATTTGCCTGTGTACTTCCCTTCCTCTCACTCTATAAGTACGATGAGAGGCCATGATCTCACCTCTGCAACAACTTTCAAATTTGCTCATCTCCATGGCTACACTCCAAAACCAGCCCCCCTCATCTATTTCCTGGACCATTGTGGAAGCCTTCAGACAGGTTTCTCTGCTTCCACTCTGGCCCTCTTCCCATCCCTCTCTCTTCTGTATGGCAGAGTCCCAGCAATGCAGGTCTGATCAAATGATATCCCCTCCTCCACACATGTACATTTAAACACCCTGAAGTGGCTTCCCTTGCACCTAAGATAAAGACCTCATCTCTGAAGGGGCCCAAAGTTCTGCACAGTCTGTCTATCCCTGTTGTCTTCTTTCTTGAGTCCTACCACCTACCCACCTTTGTAACAACCTTCCCACTACACTGACTGCTTTTTAGCCTTTAAATCTATTATGACCTTTCTACTTCCCCCTCTCCAGGCCATCTGCTGGAATATCACCTCCCCACATTCCCAAATCTCACACCACTCCTCATTCTTAATGAATTAGTGAAGCATCACTTCCTTGGGGAAGCCTCCAAGATGAGTTGACTGTGCCTTGCTACTGCAAAGCAACTATCTAGTGGATATGTTGATTTGGGGATGACTCCTCTTTTGACGTTAGATTCCGTGGAATCAGGGACTGTGTCTGCCTTGACTCCCTATTGACTCAGCTATGTCTGGCACTTCAAAGATGCTCAATAAAGACTTGTGAATAAATGAACGTGCCGCAAATACTTGAGTGGGTTTTGTGGACCTGAATTTGACATACTAGGCTGTGTCTGGAGCAGTGGTCATTGTCCCTTAGGAATCTTGTTAAATTGCAACCAAATGGGAGAATGTTTGGTAGTTCAGAGACCCCAGAGTTGGTGGTCTCTAAGGGGGTGAATCTAGACAAAATTGTCTGCCTTGGATGTCCTGGGTTCATGAGCTCCTTTAGGGTCTCCTTTAGGGTCTAGTCATCTTTATCTATGTTCTACCCTCAATATTTAGCATACAGTTGGTGTCCAATGTATACTCCTATTGCCTTGTGCTATTCTGACAGAAGCCTGCTTTGAGTAGCTCATAATCTAGCGTCCATTTCCAGAGCCAATGCTGGGAACACCACTCTGTTCTTCAGCTAGTCTCACTACTTTCTGTAGAAATTGGAACCAAAGTATTGCTTTCTGGAGTCACCCCAGAACCTCTCTTCTCCCCCCCATCCCTCCAAGAGTCTCCTTGTGCTGGCGTGCAGGGGGGGAAGAACACCATGCAGGATCAGGGGGTGGAAAAAGGGTGACAAATGGACTTTGGAATGTGGCTGTTTTTCTCTCCATAAGATGGTGATAGTTAAGATTGTATGCATGTTGAGATATGAAATTTACACAACCCCGTGGGGTAGGTACAATGATCTCCAGTTTACAGGCAGGAAACTTGTAACATACAAAC